AAATATAGTGAATTTATTATTAGTATTGATATTGAGTATAGGCTATTTCGAACATACCGCGTCGCTAAGTAGTTGCTGGATATTACCCTTCTTCGTAATTCGCTGTCGACACCTTGGCCCATCAAGATGCTTCTGCATCGATGAGTTTCCAGTATGATTTGTAGCTGGATGCGTAAGAACTGTACGGCACCGATTGCACATAACGCCAGGCTTTCCATCTTTAGTATGTGCAACTTGTTGAAACCCAGTCCAGCAGTCTGCGCGACGGCTGACCTCCCAGTTTAGCCGCTTCTTCTTACCAAAATCAGTTTGAAGCCACCACTTAACGAATTCCGCGGACATGTCGGTAGTAAAGACGATATACTCGTTAATACTATCTGGCTTGATTCGCGTAAGGGTGTCTAGGGCCCGAGGTCCTGCACGAGATCGGACTTGGTTGTCTAGAAGGTCTGGAAGGTCCAGAACTGAATCAAACTGGCTTTCGCGTTGGTATAGCGTATCGTCAGGGGTAAGGTACTGTAGCGCGTCTAGCGGTAACCCTTCGAAGCTAGATGATGCGTAGCCGTAGCCGTCGGTAATCTGAGACATGATAACTTTAGTAAACCAGTACAACTTAGGGAAGATAATAAGGAACTCACTAGTTATTCTGTAGAAGTTACGGGGTCTTCTTGGGGCATCTGTTTATCCCTGTTCCATAATGCTTAAATTGATATATCAACTTTTATAAAGCCCTATCTATATCTGATTCGCTAGTATAGTGGATCACTATAGAAACGAACCTCAATAAACCTCAACGAACCTCAATAAACCTCAACGAACCTCAATAAACCTCAATAAACCTCAACGAACCTCAACGAACCTCAATGAACCTCAACGAACCTCAACGAGAACCTCAATGTAGGAAAAATAGAATGTCTAAGTCTAACAATTGGGACATTTAATCCGGATTCACGGTATATCTAGACCAATTAACATGAATTCTAAAAGACAAAGTAATAGAAGAAGATATAATGGTTTGAATGATATTAAAATGAGGGGAATTAAACTGCATCTTTATAGTTTTCTTAAAGAACTGTAGTTCTACTAATAAAGATACACATACTTTACAGTGTCTGCGATATATATATCTACAACTTTACATGCTATTTTATCGATGACCTCTATTGACCACCCACCACGTCGATATCATCGGATATTACCTATAATTTATAGGTGACCACGCCTCCTATTTACTTTTCAATGACTATATCTTTATAATTCATTATATTGATAGAGTATTCAGTGGAAAGTCTATAGTTTAACGGAACAGCTGTAAAAAACAGAGATGAATCATCAATTTTATCCAGCCAAAAGAGGAAAGGCGTCAAGAAATTATGTATATGCAGGTTCATGCGGGTCGATGGAGGTTGAACCTCAAAGAACCTCTGGAGGTTAATGGGCGGTTGGAGGTTAGTAAGGTTGGAACCTCACCTCAAGAGGTGAGGTTCGAGGTTCCGGGGTAGGGACCCATGCGGAGGTTCAAAGCCAGGTCTAACCACGAGTGGAGCCCACGGTCGGCATACTTCTGAGAGTTCAATGGGCAGCTCTCTAGCTACGCAGTCTATATTTCGCGGCCAACGAGTTCAGAACTCGGGGTCCGGCAATGTCTCCGTAGGAAAAGATCTCAATATCGGTAAAAATTAACCCGTGGCGAAGGAAATTGGTAGTTAATAAATAAGTTGATACTGTATATATGTATATATCCAAATCTCGTTTATGAAATGAATCTTATCTGATCAAGGAATATTGTTATACTCAAACAAAGTTTCAACCCTATTCCAACTATTTGAAGCAATATTGGAGTATTGAACATTATCTTCTGCATGTCAATTGACTTCTGGATCGTTAAATAAAATGATAATATACATATATCAAGCCTGGAGAAACGATGCCAAGAAAAAGTTCCGAGTTCCGAGAAAACAGCCCAAACAAAGAAAACAGGAGTATTCTTTCGTTCACTCTAGCCCCTCAAGGTCGAAACAGCACCAGAAAGCTATACCCCATACATATCCATGGTTTCGGTTTGCCTTATGTCCTCAATATTGGGATATTTATCGACAGGATCGTAGGATCTTCTACCAGATGAAGCAGGCACCGTGCGTTCAAACGGTCTATTTGTCAAATACTCGTCGGCAATGCAATGAAAAAGCAAGTACAGATCATCCACGTCTGAGTAGGCAAGGTCCGTCCTACCGTAAAGCTCATGTATAGTTACAGTAGACAACATCGCGTGCCTTGTACCTTTAGAAACCTGATCGAGAACAGAACGCTGTTCCGGGATTGACACGTTGGTAGGTCCCCTGGTCACGGATACTGATCTAGAGGTGCCGTGGCAATGCTGGGAACCTGACAAACCGGACACCCACCGGCGTCAACACAAAGCCTAAAGCTTCAGTGGGAAGCTGCTCTTTTTCGCTTTCCCGGGAATGGAACTACCATATATAGTGCCTTTTGGAAACCTCCCGAGATCAGTCCTTCAATGCTCTATGTTCTCTACCGAGATCGGATGAATTTAAGTCGGCCGTAACAACATTTTTAACGTAACCCGAACAACTTGGAATCTCCCAAGGTTCTTTATTTTAGGCTTTACCGATCCCAGAACTGGAGACTCTCTCGCGATCCATATTGATTAAAAATTACAAAGTCAACTCCTACAATTTATTACTATCAACCGACTCCCATTCCGACTTGTCGAAAACCCATCCTTTCGTTTTCTGATTTCGCAATCACAGTTAGCCCCAAGGCCTTTGGATATACCATGCGCTACTACAATTCAACGTCGACTGTCTCTTCGTGTCAAAGAGCGGCAAAAGAATATACTCAGGATGCTACCGGAGTATGCAAGGATCTCGATTGCACTTGATTGTTGGACATCTCCATTTGGGCAGGCATTTATGGCTATTACCGGCTATTTTATCGATGCTGACTGGGTCTACCGCGAGGTGTTACTCGGTTTCAAACCCCTTCATGGAACACATTCCGGTGTAAACCTAAGTACAGCTGTTATACAGACGGTTACTCAGCATGAAATTGAGAATCGGATATTTGCATTAACCACTGATAATGCGTCGAATAATAAAACTCTGGTTGATGCACTGCAACAATCTTTATCTAATACACGGGATATCGACATTATCCGCATCCCCTGTCTTGCGCATGTGATCCAATTGAGTTTGAACCAGCTACTCGACCGTCTCAAAGCAGTCCCTCAGAATGAGACTACGGAGACCAAATGGACTGAGCAACAAGTCACTCTCGCAAGGGCGAATACAAAAAAACGGGATATCTCGCATACTTTGAAAAGAATACGAGCACTTGCTGTATACATCCGCGCTAGTCCTCAGCGCCGATGTTCATTTATCGCACTTCAACCTTCAGGGCAGGGGATCATGCTTCTCCAGGATGTGAAAACTCGGTGGAATTCAACATATCTTATGCTCCGACGAGCCAAAAGACTCCGTGTCTTTATTATACAATTCTGTGATCAGTTCAATGAGCAAGACTTCGCACTAGATGATGATCAATGGCGTCAGATTGACTATCTTCTTTGTCTTACAAAGCCATTCTTTGATTATACACTTGCTCTCTCGAAGACACGAGATGTAACATCACATCTTGTCTTTGAGATCTACAATTTGCTATTTGAGCATATTGAACGATCAAAAAGACAATTGAAACGAAAGCGAGTTGTATGGAAGCAGCAGATGCTTGCTTCTCTCGATGCTAGCTGGTCAAAATTACGCGACTACTACAGGGAGACTGATAAAATACGAGGGCATATCTATGCAGTTTGTACTATGCTGTCGCCGGATAATCGATTCCAGTTCTTTTTTTCTGATGATTGGTCCGACGCTAAAGAGCTACGGGATCAGTATCGAGTAGCATTCCAGGATGCACTTACTCCAATCCAAGAACGTCTTTCTAGTACTAAGGCTAAGGGCCCGCAAGAGTCTTCTACATCGGCACCAAGATCAATTCTTCACAATCTTGTTCGAAGCCAGAAATCTATCCCTAAGTAGACTTCGGCAGAACCCATTTTGGGTCGGAACCTCTGACCCAAAACCCAACCCATTGGGTTTTGGGTTCCGCCCTCTATAACCCAACCCAACCCAAAACCCAATGGGTTAAACCCAATAACCCAATAATAACCCATTTGAACCCATTTTTGCATAAAAGACAGGTCTTGGCGTTCATAACAATGCTAAGTCATTCAAATAAATTACTGTTTTTTACAGCTGTTCTGGTTTGTTCATCAAATATTGCTATATTATCACAATATTAAGTTGGAAAATTTATGTAATTACCCTGAATTTGAAGCTAATAGGCTTTGGATTATATTGATTACTGATAAAAATTCACATTAATCGTAGTATAGTGGTGTTCTATTAATTTAAGCATTTGTTGACTGTGGACTATTGAAAATATATATTTGTGGTAGAGGGGAGTATATATATATTATAGGGTAACTATGAATGTAAATAGAAATATCTTATTCTTATTTGATTTTATATACAATTGATATTATATTAAAGCTATATTTCTCTTCTCTTATATTTTCTGACCGCGGTCGGAAAATCACTTCTGGGAGGCAGGTGTATATGTTATTATTTCTGACCGCGGTCAGAAAATCACTTCTGGGAGGTAGGTGTATATGTCATTATTTCTGACCGCGGTCAGAAAAGCCCTTCTGGGGGGGTAGATATACATATTATTATCTCTGACCGCGGTCAGAAAAGCCCTTCTGGGGGGGTAGATATACATATTATTATCTCTGACCGCGGTCAGAAAAGCCCTTCTAGGGGGGTGTAGGTGTATATATTATTATCTCTGACCGCGGTTAGAAAAGCTCTTCTGGGAGGGTAAATGAAACATTTTTGAGGGATCTTCTGGGGGAGTGGGTTATGAATGGGTCTTCTTGGGTTTCAATGGGTTATAAATGGGTTCTTTGGGGTTTCGATGGGTTATAAATGGGGTTCTCTTGGGTTTTGATGGGTTATGAATGGGTAGGCCTTGACAAGTCCCGCAGCACCAGCCGATTTTTGGTCCCGGCCCCGCAGCACTAAATAAATTCTGGTGCTGTGGTGCTGCGACCATACCTATTTAGGCTAGGAAATTACCTAAATAGGACGATGATCAGCATAATAATGCCAAGGCAGCACTGAGACTAGCGGCTTGGCGCCCACTTGGCGCCAAGGCGGGACCAAATCGGCGGGACTTGTCAAGGCCTAACCCAGCCCATTTGGTGGGTTGGGTTGGGCTGGGCTATGGGCTTTGTGGGCTATGCAGAGGTCACGGTCCGTGACCCGAGATGATCGATTCGCAATATAGGCCCCCGCCTGAGTGACTGCCAGTGGAATATATTCCAGGGCCAGGACCAGTGCCTTCTCATCCTCTCCAGACTCTCCAGACTCTCCTGATTGAGAGGCCGGAACCCTTGCCCGTAAAAGGGTGAGGGACTCGTCCTCATTCATTGGCTGAACTGTGATCACATGACGATCGCTCCCCACCAGATTCCGTGCCGCAAGCCCATTTCGCGATGTGATCAGGATTGATCCATGGGCCGCCTGGGGCAGGAAGCTCACCAGCGGCCCTCGTTCGTTGAATGTATTGTCACTGAAAAAGATACCATCGTCATCCGCATTGTCTAACACCATCAGCCAGCGCCCATTGCGTGCATCACACAACCACTGATACACGAGCTGGAGGATGTTCATCTTTGGATCATCCCGCCCCGGAACCTCAGCTGCGGCAATCTGCTGATAGCCTTGTTCCAGCCGCGCCGCATTGCTGGCGTGGATCCAAAACACCCACATGTCCGGTGTGGATTCTCGCACACGATAGGAATACTCGATGGCTGTCTGGGTTTTTCTGAATGGTAGTTCTATTAGTTGTTATTCAACACGCTACATTATGGAGACAGCTCACCTAACGCCGGCCAACCCCACCAATGCCACCCGCTCATGTCGCTGACCGATCGCCTTGTGTCTTTCCTTGATAGCGCTGATGACAGCCTCACGGCCTATAAACATCGGGTCTTTCTTGAAAGGTACTGTGGAGCACGGCTGGGGCTTCGGACGCGTTTGCGCTGAATACAGTTCCTATTAGCCCGCAAACAGACCCTGGATCAAGTCACCCACTGAACCGAGCCGCCACCACCGATGGCGCCTCTTTTGAGAACTGCCGTAGCTTATCGAGCGCTATTCGATATCCGGCCGCGTTACGCGTGTCGAATTTGACCACCTCTGAGTGGTCTGCGTGTAGCGGCACCTTGTCCTCTACATGATCGGGGAGCTGCAGAAGAGCCGAGTCTGCGCTAATCGTCGTCACAAAATCCCCGGTGCGTTTCTACCGCCCGCTTTCCGAGTCCTATTGCGATCGTCAGTATATATAAACCATGGCCTGTTTCAGGCAAAGACCAACACTCACTAATGCCAACCGCCTCGTCTGCTCTGTCTCATAGAAGCTGACCACTCTTCGATCTCTGATCAAGTTTTTGAAATCCGCTAGCTGGTGGATCAGTAAGTCGGATTTACTAGAGATCTGCTGTAGTAACTGCCCTCGCGGATGGCTGTGATCCCCGGCTAGTATCTGCTAGATATCGTCTATCACCAATCCTTTATATGGGATGGCAAAGAGGATCATGCCGTACGTGGCTCGATGTAGCGATGTGATCGCCGGGTGGTCTTTTCCATGGTCTGAATGGCCCTCACCAGGCACTAGAAGTTAATGTTAGCATATCATATATGAAACCCCAAAGGTAGATAGTCATCCTACATGAGCCATGATTATGCCTCCAAAACTGTGTGCGATGAATATCAAAGGTCTCTGCTAGAGCTAGTGGAACAATCAGCCAAACTTGCTATTAGTAGACAAGTCAGATAGTGTCTCTCCTACCTCCTTTGTGTTCCGAATTTTCTTGATCTCCTCTATCAGCTCCCGCCCGTAATCGAGGATCGTATCGACTCCGTGGCTCGATAGCTTGGAGTTGTACCTGTAGATCATGGTGCGGCACTGCGGTAGATCCTTCGATATGAAGTCCTGGAGCCACATCCGACCAAGATTTCCTCTTCCTTGCCATGATCCATACGTATGTCTATCTAGTCCGGCAATGGTAATGATACTATGTGGTATGGTCAGTTAGTGTTAATCTTCTAGGTGTGGATAGACTGCGACATCGCCCGTCCATGGGCACCTAGGAGGTGCCCATCGCCCGTCCACGGTGGGCCTTGGGCTATTTGGATTTTCGAGTGCCCGTCCATAACGCCCAAGGCCCACGGGCATGCCCACGGCGGGCATGCCCACGATGCCCACCATTATATAAAGTTGTCTTAAATATATATAAAAATTAGATATATAGTAAATTATAGTATATATATTTATATATATCTTATTAAAAATCCGGAATTATGATTGTAAATATATAAAAAATATAAATTTAGTTGAAATATTTTGAAATCTGTCAATTAAAATCACGTGTTGCGCTAATTTTGCTTACTAAAAAGGCCCACGGGCGCCCACGGTGTCCATGGACAATGGGCCCTAAGGGTAGGGCCCGTCCATGGGCGTATTGATAGTGCCCATCGCCCGCTTACATAAGGCCCGTGGGCACTGCCCACCCGCCCGTCCATGGGCGATGTCGCAGTCTAGGTGTGGATAACGGCATAGGTCCTTACTCGGCAATCATAGGCTCATTCTTGTCTGGCGCGTAAAGCTGGGTAAATCCAAAGAAGTGGTAGTCAAGGTTGATGTCATCGCCTCCCCTCTCAACCTACCAGTCTCTAAGCGGGTCAACCCTCAGCTTACGGAGGAACTGAGGCACCCTACCGCGAAATTGTACCAGCGCCACCCTCTCTGTGTCACTTTTATAGTATGAAGGCACGATCGTGATCTTAGCTTTGATATGCGATCTCTCGTCGTCCGCGAAGTTGTCGTTGAGCGCGTCGTGTAATGCGGTCTTGAGTTCTTCATCGAGTAGTTTCCTAGATAGGCCGGTCACCCGGAAGACGTGCGACCTTTTACTAGCCATCGTTTTTTTTTTTTTTTTCGTTAGAGTGTTATATCAGACGAGAGCGGACTCTGCTTCGCTTGTTGATGGATGATCACCTTAGTCGCTGAGGCTGAATCAATCAACACGTGCGGGGTATCACGCATCCACCTCCAATCATTGCTACTATCACTGCGTAGATACCACTGTGAACCAAATGTAATCATTTCTTGCTGTTGAGAATATTCAAGCACCACAAATTGTTAGTGTCTCGCTATCATAAGGCTATTACTCCTACTAAAGTTAAATCTTCACTTACAGCTTGTGACATCCTCCGTATCCCTTGTCCTGACTAGTCTATCGCACAACCCGGGTTTGGGTCGAGATATCGGACCCGGACCCGGACCCAGCCTGGGTCCGGGTCGAAGTCAGCGAACCCGGACCCAACCCGGACCCAGCGCTGGGCCCCCAATGGGGCCCCAGTAAAACCCAACTTTGCATAAAAACAAACTCTTGGCGTTCATAAAGTTGCTAAATAATCAATATGTAATCTTCGTATTTTTTTGTGTTTTAGATCGAACCTATATGAACTCACTTATTCGACATCAACTTTATATGACTAAACTAAATAGACACTTATATCATTTTATATTGGCCAGATATTAGTTTATTACCAATAAAAATTAAAGATAATCATGGTTGTAGTGGTATTTGATAATTTAGGTTTGCTGATATGGTTGAAGTTGTAGAAATATATTTTGAATACAGTGTAAAGTAGTCACTCTATCCTTACACGTTGAGATCTCCTTTCGACTACTACTATCTCTGACCGCGGTCAGAAAATTAATTATACGATTAAAGCCTTATTCTACTATACTTTCTAACCGCGGTCAGAAACTCTAGCTGAGGGGATCTTACAGTGAGCGCGGGTAGAGCCCGAGTACTAATACTCCTAGTTTCTGACCGCGGTTAGAAACTCTAGCTGAGGGGATCTAGCAGTAAGCGCGGGTAGAGCCTAAGCCTTAGTACCGGTATTAGCCCGTTATATTTGCTGGGTTTTGCTGGGTTTTGCTGGGTTTTGCTGGGTTTTGCTGGGTTTTGCTGGGTTTTGCTGGGTTTTGCTGGGTTTTGCTGGGTTTTGCTGGGTTTTGCTGGGTTTTGCTGGGTTTGGCTGGGTTTAGCTGGGTTTGGCTGGGTTTGGCTGGGTTTGGCTGGGTTTAGCTGGGTTTTGGCTGGGTTTTGCTGGGTTATGCTGGCTCTAACCCACTTAAACCTATAATATATACCAATTAAATGCTAGTGAAGTAGGTACTTTTGATAAACGACGACTTGATCGTTTAGCTCTCTATTTACAGCTAGGGTAATACGTCTTCTGCCCTTTGTAAGTAAATCCCTTCTCTTATTCTTCCCCTCGTAATTGATCATTTATTTATTTCGCCTATTATATCCCAGAGCCAGCAATCTAATTTAATATCCTCGATTTATGATGGAGATATAGACAATCTTGGTTATCTTACCCCTTCAAACCGACTTGGTACCCCTAAACCATCTACTAGCCAGCAGACGTTCGATCTCGACTCTATTAACTCCGAATTCCTTCGTCCGATTATTCCCCTTATACCTCCTACCTCACTTCTACGTGTTAGTCCCGATCGGAGAAAGGCATTTGTTCTTTATAACAAAATGACTTATACCGAATGGGTCGACTGGTGGTTACAGACTGATTTTAGAAGGAAGAGTAAGATCTATTGGGACTCAAACCACCAGTCTGATATTTGGGGTAGGTTTAACCAGGTTGCAAATAGTATCGATGGGGCACTAAAGGTTATATATAAGAATTGCGGCTAGATTCTTGAGCATCCTTATACTATCCATCCTTATCCAACGGGCGACCGGAAAGCACAATATCATAGCATATCAACAATGTCAAAACATATCAAGAGCGTAGGGTATCGAAAGGCTAAGGGTAGATCAAAGCTAGAGATTACAAGATTCCTCAGCAAAGCTGTATGTTCTATTATAACTTAATCTTTTATTCTCCTTACTAAATTTTTTTAGGATGATACTCCGACCGAGGCTCCTTTCTCACAAGAGGCCTGGGAGGAAGAGATTTTATCCTTCTTATCTCTTAATCGACTCCCATTTCAACTTATCGAGCACCCAACGTTTCAGAGCCTAATTCAAATGGCTCGTACCTCTCTATCTACCCCGTTTATCCCCTCTGCTGATACAATTCGTCGTCAGCTATCAAGCACAGTTAAGAGTCGGCAACAGAGTATACTTCAGATGCTTCTATCTCACTCAAAGATATCTATTGCCCTTGATTGCTGGACCTCTCCCTTCTTACAGGCGTTTATGGCAATCACTGGCTATTTCATTGATAGCGACTGGGTATATCGAGAGGTGCTACTAGACTTCAAGCCTATTTATAGGGCGCATACTGGTGTAAACCTAAGTAGTGCGCTGATAGAGACCCTCACAGAACATAGAATCGAAGATAGGGTATTTGGGCTGACAACAGACAATGCATCAAACAACAAAACTCTTATAGAATCCCTTCAATAGGTTTTACCGGATAGTGTTATTGTTATTCGAATTCCTTATCTTGCCTATGTTATCCAACTTAGCCTGAACCAGCTTCTTAGACACATCAAGGCAGTTCCAGAAAATGAGACTATAGAGACAAAGTGGACTGATTAACAGTCTAAAATAGCCCAGTAGAATGCACAATAATAGTAGCGAGGGATTTCTTCTACGCTGAATAAGATTCGTTACCTTGCAATATATATAAACGCTAGTCCCCAGCGCCGGGAGAGTTTTTACAATCTCCAGCCCCAAAAAGTCAAGATTGCCCCAATCTAAGATATAAAGACCCGGTGGAATTCAACATTCCTAATGCTTCGCCGCGCGAAGAGACTACGGTCTGTTTTTGGCCCTTTTTGTGAAGAGTATGCTCGTCTTGATCTGCTACTAGATACCGAAGAGTAGCGTCAAATTGACTATCTTCTTTATATTACGGAGCTATTCTTTGATTATACTCTATAACTCTTAAAGACTCGGGATATTACTGTATATTATACTTTTAAGATATACAACCGGCTTTTTGAGCATCTTAAACAGTCAATAAAGCAGCTCAGACGGAAGCGTATTCTATAGAAGAAATAGATACTTAATGCGCTCGAAGCTAGTCGACTAAAGCTTGACGAATATTACTCTCAGACTGATTATATCCGAGGGTATATCTTTGCGATATGTACCATGCTTGCGCCTGTGAATAAGTTTCAATTCTTTCAAACTGATGACTGGGATCAAGAGTGGCGCGATAAATATCGCTAGGCATTCCAAAAAGCTCTCGTACCATATCAAGATCGGCTTTCTCATATATAAGACTCGCAACCTTCTTATAATCAACCTCGACCAAGTTCGAAGCTTGATAAGATGTTAAATAGTAATAGAAGACAGCTGTCGGGAGTCATAGATGAGATAATATAATATCTCGATAGTAGTATATTAAACCTAAATAATATTAATATTTTACTAACTAGTTAATAGATACGATTGAAATTGCGCCTTTTGGTTTCTAGAGAGAGAATCAACACCGCTTTCCAGCTATTGCAGCTCTTATAAGGGATATTCTCTCAATACCAGCAACAGGCGCTGGTGTTGAACGACTATTTAATACCGCTCGAGATATCTATTATTACCGCCGGGGAAGAATAAAGTCCGAAACAATCTAAGAGCTTATGATGTTCCTTTGTACTTCAAGATTCGATCTTAAGGAGCAAGAGGCTAAGCGACTTGAAGAGTTTTTTACACAAGACGAAATTGAAGTGGCGAAGGAAGAGAAGGATAAGAGACCTGATGGGGTTGAAGTAGACCCAATTAGTGATACTGAAGAGCTAGATAAAGGGGATAAGGAGAATAAGGCGATAGAGGATATTGAAGATGATATGATTGAGCCTAAGCTACCGGATAATGGTACGCAGCTCCGATTATCAGGACGGAAGCGTAAACAGCGAGATGATGATAATTTCCAGTATCACTAGTTAGCTAAAATATTATCTTCCTACCCTAAATCTACATACTCTTGATATAGATAAGATGCAAGAGAAATACCCAAAATTACAATAAGAGATTGTATAAATTATACAGTGAGGATTCCTTGGTATATTTGTCTTATTTGTAACCCAATTGGGGCCCCAGTATGGGTCCGGGTTGAGGGTAGTAACCCAGAACCCAGCGCTGGGTTGAGATTTTGGACCCGGACCCAACCCAAACCCGGGTTGGGTCCGGGTTGGGTCCGGGTCCGGTTGGGTTCTGCGGAAGCCTAGTCGCAGCACCACAGCACCAGAATTTATTTAGTGCTGCGGGGCCGGGACCAAAAATCGGCTGGTGCTGCGGGACTTGTCAAGGCCTAATCACTATACCCCGCTTTGATCACATGGGGTCAGCAACGAATCAGTGGTGCTCCACTCTCGTGGCCCAGCCGATAAGGTTAAGTGACAATTCTGTTTTCATGTTGTAAGGATCCTTTATCCGTTACAGAAGGGGCTGCCACAATAGTTAGGCGTTAGGACGTAATACGAGTAGTCTTCCTATGATTCGTGGTCTGTCAACTAGGTTGCATTATCGAGGCGATATTAGTTCAACTCTCACAATTATCACGATTCTTGTAAAAAAGTGAAGATAGGAGAACTATATTAGGATTGACGCTAGTAACGAACGAGAAGTGCACTAGATAGCAGAACTCATAAGATAGACGAAAACATCTTTCCCAGCCAGGTTTAGTTCCTCTGTGAAGTAAGCAGAGGCTATTGCACTATAACTAGCGAGTAAAGACCACCGTTCGCTGCATATAGAAAGAATAGGTGGTAGTAGGCATAATATAGCAAACGGGAGAGGGGAAGCTAGCTAGCGATCTGGCAAGATCACGAGATCCACCAAGCGATTCCAAGTGGTTCTATATAATATACGGTACTGTGACGATGACTCATTGCTGACCATACAAATATTACAATGACAGTTTTGCCAAAATTCTGAGGCGGTGACCTCACCCGGCCTAGCGCGCGTCGGGATTGGTTTCTCCGAATCAAGAAGAAAGAGTCTGGAGGTATAGCTGATTTCGAAAAGTACTGTATGAAATTAGTTTCTGGTACGAACCTCACAAATTAGGCTGCAACAATCTGAGAGGGTATTTATTCAATTACGTAAACATATTATTTTCCCTCTTTCTATGATTTTCTTACCTATAAAAAAGCATTTAATGAAAATGCTGAGCAATCCAGTTTAGTCCTTTTACGAATGAAAGAACCCTCAATCTCGATTCTTCACGACAAGCTACGAAATGGGCCAAGTTGTCCAAAAAAGCCCAGACGAAGGTCAATTGGAACATTAACATAGCCTATGATTTGCTCAACAAGCTATTATGACAGTCGTTTTGGAAACCAAATAATATTGCTCACCGGTCTATGCCATAGTATTCTGTACTGGTGTGAGGAGTAATTTTATCGATGATAGCTTTAGGAGCGGTGATGAGTCATTTTCAAAATTTTACAATTGAAGCACATGAAAAACCTCTTGAAGGTATCGAAAGATCAGTCAAGTAGAATTATTTTTAGTCACAAATGAAATGTGCCATTATGAACTAAGAAATACTACTTGGCAGAACTTTGACATGGGGGTCCTAGTTGTAGATTTAAACACTATCGCTATGTAATGAAGTATGATGATGATTGATTGAAGCTCATGAACTGCGCATTTTGACTGGCCAAGTTCGGTCATTGAGATACTGCGATCTGTGGAACTAGTCGATCTACTTGCCGTTTCTCCGCACTTATATGAGATAGCAGAGGAAGCGATAGAAAATGCATCCGTTCAGATTAAACGATTTCACCAGCCGAACTTCTTCTGTTCACGGTTACAGAACAAAATTCCACGAGTTAGATAAACACTCCTTGGTGATGATCTCAGAAAATAATGACTTTTGGTCCAAAGAAGCATTCGCATGACCTACTACTACTCCACCACCTCAGTACAACTGCCTCGGAGACAACCCTCATCCGTCAGCCCAATCTGGAAAAATGTAATGAATTGCTGAAGCTATCTGTTCCTGGTGCTTCCATATGTATTGAAGAAGTGATGAAAGATGCCAGAGAAATCTTCTACCGAATCGCAGTCAGCCATCCAAGATTCCTCTCCTCTATTCCGTCGCCAGTATCGCCACTTTCCAAGCTTGAATATGGTTTGACCACGGCCCACAATCCCTTCGGTGAAGCTGGGAGGCAGGCGCCAGGGTGTGTACCATTGAGAGCGGCTTGACTTAGCGGATTGCAGGGATATTCGGCCTACCGTCATCAGCGGTTGGGCATTTTGTCTCCGGTGCTTCTATGGCCAAACTCACTGCGATGAAAGTTGCGCGAGATCAAATTCTCAATGTTGAAGAGCGTTCGAATGGGGCCGTCTATATCTCGGAACAGGCTCATTTGTGCATTCAAAAGGCCCTTTGAATCATTAGCATTTCGGGCCAAGAAGGCGAAATCAAAGTTGGTTGCAAGTTCCGAATGGATCTCTCACTACTGAAGACAACCATCGATGACGACCTTTAAAATCATCGAAAACCATTTCTACTTATGGCAAGCTGTGATACTACCGATACTGGAAGTATGATGGCTTCAAACGAGCTCGCATGTACAGTGCAATATCGGAAGATGTGGCTGCATATAGATGTTGTGATATAAGGTTGGTGCAGATCAGACACAAAAAACCTCTGAACTACAACAATAGATGCAGCCCACAGTGGCTCGGTCGCTTTCTCTGTGACTCATCGACCAAAGAACAAGGAAATCTGCTTCGCAGATAGTATCGCCTGGGATGCTCATAAATGGCTATCTCAAAGCCATGGCTGCGGCGCCGTCTTCTTTCGTCACCAATCTCAATAGTTGGAAAGTTTGGACGTGGAACGCCAAGAAGGGCTTCCCAACCCCTGAGACTGGGGCGTGGAAAAGACCCGTCCGGCACACCATATAAGACTGTGGTTTACATTACACGTGCTTGGTCTTCAAAAGATCGATCAAGCGATTAGCCATGGATTTGAGCTTTCAGCGCATCTAGAGTGTATGAGCAGTACCTTGGTTGACTGGGAGATCATCTCGCCGAGGTGGCAGCCTCACTATGAAGAATATAACAGCCTGGCGAAGCACATCTTTATAACCATGTTGCTGAGCTTTCCCAACCGCTTCAAATAAGCGATAGAGTAACGCTCGTAGGTGGCTTACGAGACTGTGGAATGCGCCTGAGAGCGTTTACAGTACAGAGAAGGTGCATAGTTCAGAATCTGCGATATAAGAAATTCTTCATTTATGTAATCTTTATGGAGAACATTTTGGCTGGCCGGTACAAAGGGTTGATTAGATTAGGCATGCTAAAGAACAGCTTTTAGAAGATAGTTGTATTTTAAATAGTACTATTGTCAACCGAGAAGCAGGGATTATCATCGATAATAGTCGAAAGATAATAGGCAGGGGCTGTGCAAGCATTAAACAATGCGTCGTCTATTACTATTTGTGCACTTCGACCAAATCTGTTCGGGCACTTTGGGCTCTTCAATTGGCCCACATTGCAAGACTCCATTTTAAATACGTGCCCCTGAGCTGAAAACCCCGATCCAAAATGATTGGCCAACTCAGGTTAAAAACATGACGCCCGAGCGTCCGCTTTTGACATGTCATATTTTCAGTTGGACCAGATGCGTAAGCATACGGACGGGGTTCAGACTGGCAGTGCAAGTCAGGCTGGTGCTACTGCCAAACCTAGACTGCGACATCACCCGTCCATGGGCACTAGAAAGTGTCCACGGCCCGTGGGCCTTTTGAAATTCGACGCCCATCGCCCATCCTTATGCAAAAATAATGCAAAAATTACCCTATTCGGCGATTTTATGTACATAACTAGTTCTTGGCAGTACCCACCGTGCCAAGAGTGCCCGCATATGTCTTGGCGACGCTAAAAATGTCTCCACAAAAACGGGCGTTGTCGCAGTCTAGCCAAACCAATACGATCAATTTGAATTGGATCTTCGTTGATGAGACGTATTCATGACCACCCAAGAAGACCAAAGACTTCAGAACAGCCCAGGCTTCATAGGGCGTTTTGACTTTCCGCTATCAATTTACCCAGGTGCCCACCAGGATCTTCTTTATTTCGTCGTTTCCATTCACCATAATTCTGGTTTGTATTTGAAAATAACCCTGTCAAGTCACATTACTGTGGACAATCCATTTTCTAGCGTTTCCAAAAGGCCCATGAATTGCGAGTCGGGGTACAACGCAGCATCAGGTCCGGACATCACTGGCGCAAGACGAGAGCAAATTCGCAATGACCAACTGTATACTTACCGAGAGTGTGATTGATGAGATGAAAGAAAAAATGAGAAATATCTACGCAGAGCTGGGCAAAGTGGAGAAGAGTTGCACCGAAAAGATTGAAGATGTCTCACAGATGAACGAAAACACGATGTTATCGCATGATCAGTGGAATACCATCACCTCGTTACACCAAGAGCTCCTTGAGAAACATTACGACTTTTTTGTGGTTTCACAAGATCTAGCAGCCATCGCGACCATAGGAAACCTGGCTGAAAAGCACAACATGCCCGCCCGTATGTGGAGTTACGGGATCTATCGTTACCTGGAACTGCTACGAAAACATCGTGCTCACTCGCTCGACGTGCAAGAACATTTGCTAAATTTCACACGTCTATCATATCTGATGGTGACACTTCTTTTGGAGAGGATATCGCCTTTCAGGGAGATCTGGACCGAATGCCTGGGCGATCTAGCGCGGTATCGTATGGCGGTGGAGGACACAGATGGAGCGGATCAAAGAACATGGGCAGAGGTATCGAGATTTTGGTATAACCACGCTACAGATCAGTGTCCTGAAGCTGGTAGGATTCAAAATCACCTCGCTGTGATCTCGCGCCCGGATACATTGCAGCAATTTTTCTATTACACCAAAGCACTGATAATCGCGCGCCCATTCTCAGACGCGTGGGCAAGCATGAAACAGCTGGTCCATTCTATTCCTGGGGCACCGGGTGATAGGAACATCTTGGTCAATTCTTTTATGGCTGCTCATGGTGCCCGTATCTTGGACTTGCCAGTTGAGCAGTTCGCTCTTCGGTCGAGGATCTTCCTTACGAATCTGCGCCAAGACGTCGGCCGTTTAGGTCAAGAAGCACAACAAGGCATCTTTGTTACATGCTGTAACATCGGTGCAATACTTCAATATGGCAACAAAGATGGTTTCATTGCCACGGAGTTCAATTCAACCGACAATACTACGCTTGGAGATGCCTATGCTCTCGCAAAACAGTGGGCGTCTAAAGCACACGTCGACCCAAACAGCCATGTCAGTACCGATTTATCATCTCAATACGCATTCAGTGCAAGCTCATTCGCTTTTCATACTTTGGCCATCATCCTCAACCAGCCTGATGACTGGAACTTGCAGCCTGCTGTGCATGTCTCTATGGCCTTCCTGTGGTGCCTTACGCTCCACCCAGCAGTCATCCAGCGACTTGAGCGGCTGGTCCCATGGTCGATACTTGCCAACTACCTGAACAGTCTGTTTCAGCCCAACGTCAATATTTCAACGATCAAAGGCAAATCATTCCCCCGCATTGATGGCACCACCCCACAGCAGCTGCCGGAGGACCTTTTAATTAGAGGCCACACTTGGAGCCGACTTTACTACCCTGCCATGTTTTTCGACGCGACAGCCATGGCAGAGGACAGGCCATTGATTGAGGATCCTTCCACAATGCTCCTTAGAGTACACAGGTGCCTGTGGCTTGGAATGCAGATCGCATCGGTCTGCCTCACCCGAATTCACTATAATGTACTCTGGTCTAACCTAGTTCTGATTTAGTATTCTCGTTGGATGAAGTACGACGATATTTTACGGTTCACGCCTACCAGACTTGCATACGAATTTGCGCCAATCTCTCAATCCCTAGACCACCTCAGTGGGAGTCTCTACTCGACACCTAGGCTCATGGATTAGGAAATGAGGGAAGCTTTGAAAAACCCACAAGGTGACCATCATCTCTCTTGGTCGGAAGATAGGGACCACAATATCAACTATGTATAGTGAGTAAAATCGAAACAGTAGTCGAAGATTTCTCTTTTGCGGATCAGAAAGCGCATCGCAACCTGTGTTTTCATAAATGTAAACGCAAGTTGACACAGACAAATTGTATAAATGCGGCAGACTCGGCTTTGAGTCCCACGTCTGGCTGGTAGCTCTGAGTTATTTCATAGTTGAGCCGTCGAGAAAGATCGCTCCTGGGCGCGGGTTGAGAGATAAGGACATTTGCAGGCCAATGTTACTATGTAGCTTTTTCATTAGCCTCACTAGGCGCAAATGCAGCATCGGAAGAACGAAAGTCTGGAAGCGCTGAGAGAAAAATCTCTTGACAGAAACCAATGATCAAAATTCTACAGTTACTAGTGGTAGTATCAAGCCAACTACCTGACTACCTTGACGCTACGAGGTCGAAAATTCAACACAAAACCTTTCTAGCCTTGCATCAACGTTTTTTTCTTGGTCAACTGCTAAGATCTTGAAACACGAGACACTGATTCTCTAAGATGAACGACCAACCAGAAGTGAAGTCCCAATCGCCCCCAACACTATACTTCGCACAACTGTGCCAAGACTCCTGTCTCATCCCCGAGGTTTCAATAGTGATGCTAGAGGGTTCATCAATTTTGCACATTGCGACGTTAGCGCTTTTGCTTACTGCGCCAGTCCTTCAGTTCTCTGTCGTCATAAAGAGAGATAGGCATATGAGCAGCTAGACCCTAGAGTCTAGAAGAATAGTAAGCGTTGCACCTTCTTCTATAAGAACAATCAAACTACCAAGAAGCATGCACTTCGAGTACACCCCCGGACCTCGGTTTGACGGTGGTGGAGAAACGGCAGGCTTCTCAACACCTGTTGTATCGTACGCACCTGAGGCATGTCACAAAGCAACAACGTATACAGTTTTGAAGATACATTCTCCGATCAAGGGACACAAAGTCCTACCTGTGGAGCGACGAGTGATATCTTATTGGGCAATCACTTACTTGTTAATTAGCAACTCATCCGCATATTACCTGTAGTCGAGTAGGGTGCACTTACTCTTCTTGGCCAGCCACTACTATCTTGTGGATACACATTGTGGAGATCATATGGCCCGCAAGACAGCCACATGGACATATTTATGACCTCTCTGAAGCGAGTATCAGAATGACAAAATCAGGGGCTCCAATATTCAGGTCTAGAATGTATGCACGGGCTACTTGGGCTACTTGGGCTACCTGGGCTACTTGGCCATCGATCGTATACCGTATTCTAATATTCATTCATTATGGATGGGGATCGGGCGTGTAGAGTAATATATAGCCCCGTCGAATAATGTGTGGCTACATCAAGGCGGGACCCAGACGGTAGTGATCAACGCTGAGATGCTATAGTTGATCACCACTGTTACTTCGACCGCCGCTGCCGAGGGGTCCAAGCTAGCCGGAGCTTAGAGGCCTACTTAAGGCATGAACACTTGTGAGCAAGCTCATTCTCCAAAATTTTCTTTCATTTTCATTCATACATTCATATGGCTTCATTCTGCATATACTGGTAGATGATACATCCAATTCTCATCGACTCTGGTTTTCACACAATTTGCAATTGTTTCCATCTGAAAAATGACAAACTTCACTGACCGCGCATCTGATGAACGCGGTACTCGGACCTTAATACTCCTGTGGATCACAGCAGGTATCGCACTTGTTGTTATAGCTTTACGGATTTCCAGAGGGGTCAAAGAAAGATATATCTACGTGGAGGATGTTACCATCCTAGCATCTGCAGTGAGTGCTCCGCTCATGTAATTTGCAGCATAAGATATCTGACCTCAAATACAAGATTGCGGCAATAGTTTACTGTGCTAAAATCACAAATATCATTAGCGCAGGATATGGACGGCACAAAATTCTACTGGGCCAGGAAGAATACGGAAATGCAAATTCCGAAATGATGTACTCTCTTGTCTGGGGAAACATCTCGACAGCCGTCTGCAAAATCTCGGCGGCAATATTACTACACCGGGCGGTAGAGATCACAACTTTCAGAGTATGTTCAATACTGCTGACGGCATTCGGATCGGTGGTATCACTTGCTTGGATCGTGCTGTTAGAAACGACCTGCATCCCTTCTCGACTGTTACCAAAGATAGGAGTGGCTGGTGGAGGTGGGTACTATCTAATATTTTCTATCAGCAGGATTTGTTCAACTGATGGATTGCAGTGCTATCAATTCTACTCTATGTTCACCTTGCAGGTAATGCGACCATTGTCGTATGGACGCGGGATGCTCCTCTCCAAAAAAGGCTGATTGGTTGTGCTTTTTGTGGGTCGATTGCCCTGTAAGTTGAATCAAGTTGTTATGTTTTTAGGATGAAGAATAGAATTAACGTGAATTGTGATAGAGCTGTACCAGTGGTTATTATCAAATGCACGAATCTCAAGGCTCTCGCTGTTGGGCATGACATGACATGTGAGCTTTCCCTTTGGGGAGAGGGGGTCTTGAAACCGACCTATGTCCAATCCATTTTCTGAGGGGAAAGAGCTGATGATTGATTAGATACGATGGCCCCATTGCTAATATGGATAAAGTGAGATCATTCGTCTGATCTAGTGAAGCACAGCTAACACTTGCCGGTTAGCTTGGAATTCTGCGTCTTTTCTATCGTTTCAAGCCTGGGGCCTCTTCGTATGACCTTTTTCAAGGCGAATGAGCCCGAAGGCAACACTACAAAAAGTATCAATACAGTGAGTAAGTGCTTCTTTCCTCAGCTGGTCAAAGACTCACAGACTTTTGTGGTACCACTATAGTAAGGCTTTGAGTTGATCCCAGGCGCTCGGCAATACTATCAAATCACAACTCGGGGGAAGGCATGGACTGGAGCCTATTCACATTTTTCATGACTTGTTGGCTACTCTATTTGGTTTGATGTAAAACGAGGTTGGTTCATCTCCCAGTGAGGGAACAGCATACCGCATCCCTCCACGTATCAGCGCATCTTTTATAAGATAACGATTTTTGAAGCCATCGTTGATCAAATCTAGCACATTGTCTCAGCGGTTAAACGAGCACATAATTCTGTATGCGGCATCCACAAAGTGATCTATTATCTTGGCAACAGATCGCGGAACTGTCTGGATATTGAGCGATGTGTTGCTCTCTATCAAAGGCCGTGAAGCGGAGAGTCATGGAGTGGAAGGCATATAATGAGACGCCTTCTGAATAAAGAACATGTATTTTCCAAGTTTTCTATCTCATTCAGGAACGATTCTTTCTATATAAAACACTAATATATAGCTTTCTATAGCACCATTATATTCAATCCTATAGGATTGTGCACGCCCTCAAAGCCCATACGCATTCGCTCCAATCTATGCCCAATTCACCTAATGCCCGGCTGCTGTCTTTCGGATATGCCAATTTGCAGGTTGCAAAATATTTTGGATCCTTTACGAATGATGACCGAGCTCAGATTCACATCCTGTCTAATACAAATAACCGCCAACCCAGAAATGTTCAAAATTCAATAAGAGTGGTTGGTAGAGCTCCGCATCAACCGCGGTTATGACCGCTGCGGTGCGTTTAGGTAACCGCGAAAACGCGGTTGAGGTTTGGGATTTTCCTATATGCGGTCGCTCAGGCCACATCCAGAAACCGCACATGGTCAACAGCGGGTAGACCGCGGTTGGGCAAACGGGCCAAACAGCCAAGACCCCATGAATTATACATATTTTATGCAGACCACGACACTTGGATAGTATAAAAGCTGATAAACATGTAATCCTAGATCTGGATTCTTTATGAACTCAAGATAACTGAGCTTTTCAGCAATTTTGTGCGCCTGACGATAGCTTAATTAGGCTAGTTATGTATTTGCGGTCTCTCTGCGGTTGACCGCAGTCTGACCATGCGTTTTTTTAGTGCGGTACGGTGGGAATTTTGCTTAACCATAGTTAGCGCGGTTGGGGGGTGCGGTTGGGCTTTGCCTTCCCATGCACTGGTTGTGACGAGGTCTATGGTGGTGTGACAGTTTAGGGACTGGGAGCAGAAGAGGTCGACATTGGAAGAAAAAACTGGGTAAATTGGCCTGAGGCCTTTTAAGTCGTAGAGGAAGATGGGGATCTCAGCCTTCTCCCAAACTTCTTTCCTTTCCTTCTCATCTTGCTTTCTTCGTATCGAACGACCCAGAATTCAACTGAATTTATTGGAAATTGCCTCATCACAAGTGGGCAAAATTTCCAAATGGGTAATACCCTTTCCTATCGCACGATCACAGGTAATCTTTAATTGTCAAACACATTACGCTTTTCTCCGAGGGCAGCGCTATTTCGTTTTTGAGTATAAACATAACTCAAAATGGACTTATTAGGAAGATGGGCCAGGTCGGGTTTTCTTCATTGGATTTTGGGTAATACCATCTGATTCGAAAAGGCGGCTACAGGAGGAACCGCTTGGTCAAAGTCATGTAATCAAGCAGCAGATTGATGTATCGAATGTCTCCGCGATGGCCTGCCATCCATAGGCTTGAACGCGGTTTTCCGCCGACCCAGTGCACTGGAAAATTCGTTCTCTGCGCAAGCAATGATTCTATCACGTCAGAATTTTCGAAGTTTGACGGCGTCGGCCAGAACAGCGGTAATTTTCTTTTGGTCTCCGACGTGCATATAATAGTGACTTCAGAATTTCTAAAAGAGGCTCTGATTCTCCCTCCAGGGGGATTTTTTTTCCACCAGACGGGGGAAAGGTTTCAATGTTTCCAAGCAAGTCTCGCTTCGCTTTTTTAACCTCCTGAAACCATATAGTTGTCGCTGAATATTGGATTCGACAAAATTAAGACTTCATTCTCCAGTGGCCTTTCAACTGACTGAGTCCGGTGGGTGTACTCATCCACGATCGCCTGGGTTACCAACATATAGGGTAGGACATCACGGATTATCAATTAACTATACCACAAACTCAACCCGTGAATATCTTCCTAATGATACATTGTGATCAAAATATGTCTGGTTTCCTCATAAGCTGCGACGACCTTTTTATTCCCAAGGGGCCGATTGAATTTATGGTCAAAAGTTGCATATAGAAGCAAGCTAACGGCACGAAAAGGTTTCAATAATCAATGCGAGTGGCAATAGCCACGGCCAGAGGGGTCACATTCGTTTGAGTTGACGATTTGCCCAATGACCCTCAATTATCATCAATTTGATGTCGGCCAACCACTTTGCCAACGTTGTCATGCTCGGCAGAACTTGTTGCTTTTTGTATCCAGCTCCGAGGCTATGTGGTTGAAAAGCAAGGCCAACAAAACAAGAACTAGCAGTCATCCACCTCGTTCCATAGCAGGGCGTTAGTGGAGTTCAGCCAGCATGATCAAGAACAATAAGTCTAGTAAATGCTGGTCTTTCATCAAACAGCCAAGCTTGAAATTGGTTTCTAGCTATGGACTTTCGAACCCTAGAAGTAAGAAGCGGAATGAGCTAGGACGGAAAGAGCTGGTGGCCGCTGGAATTCAGAAAATACTTCGCTAGAACTCCTGCGCGAAAATCCGGGGTAACAATTTAACTGTGCCGATTGATCAGCCCTATGTCTCCACCGGGCTGGCGGGTAGTTCTGTGTAAGACCCACGACTGCTGCTACAACCGCTAAAATATATCCCGGCATCTGCTCGAGGAACACCGCCGACAACCCCACAGCAGGTTGATGTTGAAGCGCGTAACTTCTTCTAAACAGGTAGCCAGGTGCACATATGAAGTCTTCCAACGCCCAGATGCCGTAGTTCTCGAGGAGGTCGAGGAAGAATTGGGCGTCCGTTTTGACCGAATCAACTCCGACGGTGTTGAGGTAACTATAGAATTCCTCGTAGAATCGCTGGATATCATCGGGATCTATGGCAAGAATCTTGCCCTCGGGAATATTTTGTGCAATTGGGCTATTGGAGCTGGGATCTTTGACTTGTACTTCCTTGGTCTTGTACTTTCGAGCGAGGTCGCCATCAGGACTGATTCCACCCCAATACCCGAACAAGGCATGCCAAACTGCCACATGCTGAATATTAGGGTTTTTCTGGCGGATTTCGTCAACGGTTCGTTTAAGACCTCCTGGGAAGGCTTTTTCGTTTGCCTCGAACCGCTGCCACCGTCTTCTGAATTGGGACTCGCCTTCGTTGTCGAGACTCTGCCAGTTGTCGTCGATAATCAGATTCGAGATGCTGATGCCGTGAGACTTCAAAGATTCCAAGGATTGGAGAAGTTTTTCCTCCGTTAGATCCTGCCCCAGGCTATTCCAAGTACAAAATGTCAAGTCATCAAACCACTCAGCCAGCCATTGTATTTTCGGGTCTTTCTCAACAAAGACAATATCATCATCGAGAGGAGATATCGGAGACGTCTCTTCCCAATCATCCATTGAAGAGTCTGAGAATGGCTTGACCACCTTCCGCGACTCATAGATTAAAGCAGATATAGCGACTTCAAAGTCTTCCGCAACAGCAGCCAAGACATTGAATTGGGCGGATTTCGTGTTATCGTTCCTGGCCTTGATCACGACCTCGCCATTATCGCCAGACTGAAAAACCGTCAAGACATCGTTGATACCTGAAATGGCTAGCAAAACGAGATTCAGACCATCTTTGCGCAGGAAAGAGCATAGTATCGCATCTTCCGTCAAATCAAACCAGTCTCTACCATGTCGTGGCCCCAGCCACGGACTCCAAACCCGCACCAAGGAAAAGTTCCTCATTATTGAAGAAGGGGTACCGAGAAGAAGAGTACTGATTCCGGATGCTCCATTTGCTGCTGCAGACACATTTCCTGATATTGACCATAGTAGAGAACCGGGGGCCTCGCTGGTCCGTGACTCGACTTGGATATCTTGCGAAAGGTTGGTGATATATTTTGCGAGCTCTTCTTTCCGAACCTGAGAGGGGAAATAAGGTGATAGCGCTTTCTTGATTCCGGATTCGCGGGCAGTGTATACGATTTCCCCATCACCGACCGAATGATGAGGGTTTACCCATTGCCAATCGGTTTCGGGGCTTGTGCGAAAGCGCACCGTGAATTGTGCATGCCCACCGACTGAAGGGAGTTGAATCTGTCCTGCGAATATGTGGCGATAATACCTATATTCTGTGGCGTTTCCACTAAGCAAAGGCGCGGCTGACTGTTTGGTTTCGTGCAGTGGCAGCGCCGTCCAGTCTGGATCGGAGATGTTATGCCAGATTTGAGCTTCCCAGGGTTGATCTGGTAGAGATGTGCTTGATTCGATGGTGACGGTGAAGCGCACCTAGTCCAGCCTTTGATACTCGATCTTTGTTTATTGTATTATTGTACCCAAGACAGCTGATTAGTACTCACCGTATCGCCATGGTCCTTCTCCGACCGCAACTTCTTTTGGACTCTGGGAATGCTGGTTACTTGACCCAGTGGAGGGTAGCACGTCACACGGGCGAAAAGAACCATCTGGACCGGGCGAGCAAAGTGCGGGCTCTGATGTTTCGTAGAATCGCCAGGTCCGATTATGGGGAGATTGGAGGTATTTCTGTCAATTTGCTCATGCATGATCGGATGGGAGGGGTAAGCTCCCAGCTCTCTCGGGTGCAGGGATTAGATTAAGCTGTAGCTAGCCGATTAGCGAGCGTCGAGTTGAGAAATCGACCAGGCCGGACCCGATAGCTGTGAACTTTGGACGAATGACAAAAGATGAAGAGGGAGAGGGCCCGGGGATCTTGTGATGTGCTGAGGGAAGCAGCGGGGAACCTTCCTCAACGTCTTTGACTCTTCGGCTTCTGTGCGCTACACTGCATCCTATCTACTATCTACCTTACGATGTTCGATCTTCTTTGTTCCATGCACGGAGATGGAGTATCTGTAGCATTGCTTTTGTAGCTGAGTATTCCTTTTGCACTTCCTACTTGATTTCTAGTGAATCCTGACAGCCACCTTGCCAAAGTGCTTTTGAGCCCACTATTTCCCAGTTAGTACAGATATCCTTTTACACCCAGGAGGGAACAGTTCACTTCACTTACCATGTGTTCATACGCATCCCGGGTTTCAGCCAGAGAAAAGACCTTATGGTCCACAACAGGGTGAATATCATTGGCTTCGATCGCGCGAATCATATCCCGCATCAGCGCCTTGCTCCCAACATAAACACCGCGAACCGTGCAGATGTTGCTCAGAGTATCTAGAACGCTAGGCTGATCAGCAGGACTGACACCACCCAAGAATCCAATCACACTGATCACTCCCTCGAATTTGATGGCCTTGAAGCTTTGCTTCAGGGTGCCACTTCCACCGACTTCGATGATGTGGTCCACGCCGGCACCATCCGGGGTCAACGCGCGAGCAGTCTCGCCCCAGTTCGGGTCGGTCCTATAGTTGATTATGTGATCCGCACCCAGTTGCTTGAGTTTCTTAGCTTTCTCGTCGGATGAGGTCGTGGCGATCACGATCGCACCCGCAGCTTTGGCAAACTAACCCTCACGGATATTGATTAGCCAAGCTGCTCATTGATAACTGGCCGTTAGCTACCATGGGCGAAGCAATCACTTACCTGAAGAGCGAAGATGCTCACACCGCCAGTTCCCTGGACTAGAACGACCTGGCCAGGCTTCAACGGCCTTAGGTCGTACAGCGCATTCCAGCTTGTCAGAGCCGCGCATGTCAGAGTACTATTCTCAACTGGTGAGAGGTTCTTCGCAGCCTTGACAAGACCCTTCTCGGCGAAAGCGCCGTATTCGCGAATGGTGCCGTCGATTACGCCGCCTAGTCCGGTCTGTGTCGCGGGAATATCGATCGGGCCATATTGGTGACCCTGGTTGAAGAGCGTCGCAACTTTGTCGCCCTTCTTGAACTCGGTGACCTTGGAGCCGACCTCAATGACCTCGCCAGCGCCGTCGGAGCCCGGGACCACAGGGAAACCAGAAGGGAAGGGATATTTACCCTGTGTTGTGGTGTGGTGCAATTAGTTAACTGTCAAACTGGGTTGCTCTATCGTGCTGGTATTCTTACCAAGGGAATGATTAAGTCTCGGTAGTTGAGCGAGGCAGCCTGAAGCTTGACCAGCACCTCTGATTCACCGATAGTTGGGAGGGGCGCGTCCTTGAAGGCAAGGCCGTCGAAGCCATTGTCCTTGTTCTCGACTACCCATTGCTTCATGGTTGAGGGGACCATTGTTTTGTACGACAATTCAATTGTAATTTGGTTGGATTTTGGAGAGAGAGAGGATGTGTAGAGAAATTGGCAGTTGTGATGAGTTGAGGTGGGACTCGGAGGGGCATATGAGGTCTTCTATAAATGCCCGCGAATTGACGTAGGCGATCTACCGATTATTACGTCGAAGATAGGGAGTACAGGTGGTCTAGGCTGTTCTCGGGCAGATGAGAGACCGTTCTCGGACACATTTCAATGCTGATCAATCCCGGTTCATCCTGACCATAACCATCCATGGCTTATCCTAGGCTCATGACGTCAGGAGTATGGCGTTATGACAATGATACATTGTTAGAAAAAGGAGAGAAGGTGATCTAGAAGAGCCTCTATATTATTTAGTACTAAATGATATGGCAATTTTAATATGTAAAATCTATTCCAATCAAATTACACGCCCGTCATGTCCACTCTTCCCCAGTTGGATGTTTTTATCTACTCTGTGTTGAAAATAGATATTAACCTGTCACCGCTGGAACCATTCGCCTTTTCTTCTCGGCGTTCGGGTTTTGAAAACTTTAAATTAGTTCTTTATTCTCCAAATATAGCGCAATTGGACTAACCTGTGCGGAACATCAAAACGTAAGTTACTCCGGAGCTTTTGCTTTTCGTTGTTACTTCGGCGGAGCGGAGCTTCGGGATCTGAAAACATGGACCCACTGGGAATTCTCTTGGTCCTGCGGTTATTGCAAGTTGCAGAATGAGAAAATGACGGCAGTCAGCATGGAATTTGTATCAATAAATTAATAAACTATAAAGCTATCGGAGAGATATTTCAAGTTTACAAGATAGCTCTGATCAAGTACAGTTCCGTAGACATTCTATGCTAGCCTCGCACTTAAACTATCCCATGGATTAACGATGATCCGCTTATCGCGACAATCTCGGAGCTGGCCTGATCGCCGGCCATTTTTGGTCTCCGCGACTCATTCCTCCAATTTTCCACTGGAACGCCCTCCCTCCTTACCCATTTCACATCAATCGGTCCCATGCGACCTCGGTCAACGCCTCTTGTTCGCGCGACTTGTCGCAACGCGCCCCTACCTCGAACCGCGTCATACGGAGCACGTAGCTTCGCCGCAGCATCGCAAACAAATCCGCTCCGTTGCGAGACCCGTCGCCCGGCTCTGTTTTTTCAACAATCCCAGTGTACACCGCAGCAGAAGAGGCTAATCACGCAACAATGGCTGAAGCGCGTTCAGGATGGCAAAGATGAGTGGGCTCGGCATGCGGAGGAGATTAACGAGGGCAAGAGGAAGAGCTTCGCGGCTCATCTGGAAGAACGCGGGTTGATTCATGATGTTGTTGGGTATGTTGTGAGCTGGAATTTATTCGGGGTCCTCTTCTGCATGAGTTAATTGGAAAACAAGTACTAATTGTCCATTTCTGATCTTTCCAGAGAACGCGATTTGCTTCATCAGGTGTTCACCGAGAAGAGGGTCGGTATCTACGTCGGAATTGACCCTACGGCGCCATCTATGCACGTGGGACATATGTTGCCGTTTATGGTCCTGGCTTGGGGATATGTTTGGGGCTTGCCTGTCACCTTTTTGGTGAGTTTCTTTGGGCCTGAGAGTCTCTTGAAATGGCTGACTGACACAAAATAGTTGGGTGGCGCTACATCTCGAGTTGGTGACCCCACAGGTCGACTAAAGGGCCGCGAAAAAGTTCATACCTCGATTCGCAAGGCAAACATGGCTAGCATGCACATGCAATTGAAGAAGCTGGGCACTAGCATTGAGCAGTACGGCAGGAGACACGGTTATCAGAAACAGGCTATCTGGAGACGAGCGTTGGTCAACAATAACACTTGGTGGAATTCAATGCCTTTCATTGAGGTCCTGCGCGATCTAGGCGCCTTCACTAGGCTGGGACCTATGCTTGGCCGAGACACGTGAGTCTTATCAATGCAATTTGGCTGTTCAGTTGAACTAACAATTATATTCAGTGTCAAGAATCGGATGAACCAGGGCGATGGCATGTCTTTTGCTGAGTTCTCCTACCCTCTTCTCCAAGGCTGGGACTGGTGGAACCTGTTCCAGAAGGGTACTCAAGTGTAAGTGGGTGGATCTGATCAGTATGGAAACATCCTGTTCGGTATGGATGCCGTCAAGTCAATTAGCCGTAACACTGCCGATGAGCAAAAACGTAATCCTTTGGACTCGGAACTGGACCGACCCATTGGCTTTACAACGCCTCTCTTGACAGCCTCGTCTGGAGAGAAGTTCGGAAAGTCCGCTGGTAATGCAATTTGGCTCGACAAGAGCATGACTACCACTTTCGAGCTTTACCAGGTTAGTTTACTCGTTCCATGAAGCTTCTGTTTCGTCTAGAGCTAATTATTTTCCAGTTCTTCGTCCGCACCCCTGATGATACTGTGGAGCGCTACCTTAAGTTGTTCACTTTCATCCCCCTACCTGAGATTCATAGAGCTCCCAAGCTTGAGCGTAGGAGCGGGATGCGGACTGGGGGGCTGTGCGGTTATCCTTCTTCCCAAATTCTAATCGCGTTTATAGGACATGAATATCGGTTGCCCGACCCCCGCAGTACAGTGGTGTTCCATGAGTATTTGACCTTGGGTACTTCGGCCGTGGGCCCACTTTGTAGGCCCACTTTTAATATTGCCAGGCAGAAACCTCGAAAATTCAATCCAATTTAATAGCTAGTATGCCAACCTTCATATTTAATAACATCAGCAACTCTATGAGGCATAGTATCAGATAGATGCTTAAACATCTCAATATCTAGCCCCTCCTAAGCTTCCTGGGCAGCGTCGACTAGTAGATCAAGCGTAGTTTCGTTATTTGGGAGCTGTATTAGCTCAGGGTGTCGCTTCAGTATTTCGGCCTTTAGGAGCGCCCATAGGTTCTCAATTGGATTCAAATCGGGCGAATAGGGAGGCCACTCCATAATATCACATCCAAGCTCATTAAGAGTCCCCTGAATGATATAGGCAGTGTGTACCGGTGCGTTATCTTGTTGAAAAATAGCATCTTGATCAATACTATTAAGAAGTGTTGGAAGAACACGCCGGTAAAGCTCTTCAATAGTCCGAGATGAAACACCACCGCGGCGAGACTGAGGATCACCAAATAATGGAATTAAACTAGAGCGTCGCGGAAGACCAGAAAAGGCAGCCCAAAACATCTGTTTAATCTGTTTTCCACGGGTTGGTATCATTTGGACTTGATAGCCCTCTTCTTCGTGCTCCCAAAGCTGGTCCTTTGGACGGGTAAATGACCATTCTCGACCCTAACCGATACCACGTTCAATAGTACACTCATCAGACCAATACACACGGGCCCAATCCTCAGAAGTGAAGTGCTCATATCTTCGCGCCTAAGTAAGGCGTTTTTCAGCAGATAGAGGTGTTAAAGTAGGCCGTTGCATTTTCCGCCACTTTCGAAGGCCTATTTCATAGGTCAGCCGCCAAATTGAGGTACGTTTAACCTTATAATCGACCTCTGCGAGTAGGTCTGCGACTAAGATTGACGGGTTTTGTTGTATAGTCTCATATATATAGTCACGGTCGTCTTCAGTAAGCTTCCTTGGCCCCCCTGAGCGTGCTAAAGACTAGACTGCGACATCGCCCGTCCATGGGCACTAGAAAGTGTCCACGGCCCGTGGGCCTTTTGAAATTCGACGCCCATCGCCCATCCTTATGCAAAAATAATGCAAAAATTACCCTATTCGGTGATTTTATGTACATAACTAGTTCTTGGCAGTACCCACCGTGCCAAGAGTGCCCGCATATGTCTTGGCGACGCTAAAAATGTCTCCACAAAAACGGGCGTTGTCGCAGTCTACTAAAGACTGTTGCTTTTGACGCTTTGACTCTTGAGTAAGAGTATACTGAATAGTTGAGCTTGGAATATCTGGAAATCGCTTCTTTTTTATAGTTGTTGCACCCCAACCATTGGTACTATGCAGTTCACAGATCTTAGCTCTAGTAAGACAGTCAAGCTCTGGGCCTCTTTTCCCACGTATAGGAGGCATGTTTTAGTATATAGAATAAGAAAACAGTGCGAAAATCTCTTCAAAACGCGTTAATATACAGCGCATATGCTAGCGTGTTTAGGACGCGCGAGATTTAATATACTAATACAGTAGGCGGTCTAGAATGGCGGTCAGATCCTAAGGTGGGACCCGAAGTAGACCTGGCACTGCACCTCGGGTAACCCTACCGACCCTGCACCTGCACCTCCATTTGGGCGGTGTAGGTTCAAAGATTCCGACCCTCAGGTGCGGTAGGTTGAGCACCGCACCTCATGAGGGTAACCCTGAGGTGCCCCTGAGGTGCGAAAACTATGACTAATATGCTAGAAACGTGACTTGGGGGTAATTGCATAAATTATGTAGAATTGGGCTGTATTCTTTTGTAATTGTAAGCTAAAGATTTATTACTGTATAGCCTTACAAGAGGATTGAGTGCATATCATAGGTCATAGTTTCATGTTTGAATAGGGCTTCAATTCTCACATTTGCAGTGATAATATCTATTATACAGTATGTTCTCAAGAGTTAAACTATTAAGTTATATACCCATCCAGTAGTCTCGATTTCTTCCGCATCCTACCTGATACACGATGCTGTGTATCAGGTAGGTCAGGCGACACGGAGACCCTGCCCTTATCTATCTCTGGAAGTTCATCGCCTTCAGATTCCTCCTTATCACCAGAAAAGACCATAGGGCGCTTCCCGGCAGCAACTGCTAAGAGTAGTGGTATATCATAATGTACCTTAATATCTTCCTTATCATCACTGATAGCGTCGAAGGAGTGTGTCTGGATGTCAAGTGCTTCAGCTGAAGCTGCTATTTCATGATCTATAAGATACTCTTGCAGAATTAGCCGCTGCTCCTCCTTCAAGTCAAATCTTGTTGTATATATATACAATATGATATCGCGAATAGTCTCTGGGTTTAATGAACCCCGGCGGTAGTGGCATATATCTCGGGTAGAGTTAAAAAGACGTTCAACTCCAGTACTAGTCGCTAGAATTAACATGATATTACGGGCAATACGGGTAAGAATAGGGAACTCTCTTTGATGATTCTTCCAGAAGAGTCTAGCTGAACCATCGATAGTATCTAAGAATATTAGTTTTATAATCATATAGACTTAGTGCTAACTTACCACTCTGGAGATATTTAGTGAGCTCGTTATATTGCGGACTAGTTGATCCCTTTGAAAGATCACGCCTATATACCCTCTCAAGCTCTAACTCGGTTGTTATTAAATAGCTATTAGACTAAACTATATCTGACGGTATATGTTGGCGATACCTCTCTAAAAGTGACTGGAGACTCTTATAGTATTCCTTTCTGTAGTCCTTTCCAGTCTCTGGATCTAGGTCCCAATCACTTGTTAAAAAGAATTGCATTTTGTTCGACGGTACTAGGATTGTCCCAATTGTGTAGAGATCACCCTCAATACTATCAGTCATACTATAGTATTTGATCAATTTCTCTTTTGCAGCTTTAAGGGAAGAGAGTATCATTTGTTTCTAGTGAACCTTCTTCCGCTGAAGTTGAGATATTGACCTTTTAAGATGATCAAAGAGCTTATTGTAGATCCTAAAGATAAGGTAGATACTCGAGTCTTTAGTACGATATACTAATATAGTGAATGTAAAAAAAGGCTGGAGGATACAAAGTAGATAGTCAATCTGTCGCCACCCCTCTGAATTTAATACGAAATAGGGTTGATTAAAGTCCGTATAGTACGAATTGTACGTAGTATAAAGTCTTCTTGCCCGCCGGAGCATTAGGAACGTCGAGTTCTATCGTATACGAATATCCTGGATTAGGAGGAGCTGTAACTGAGTATTGGACTAGAGGTTTAAGAAGTTTTCTTTGCGTTGAGGGCTCCCGTTGATAAAAACTATAAGACCTCGGACCTATAAGTAATATTTAGTATTATTTATAGTTTATAAATAGAAGTATACCTTGTTTAATGTATCAGCGATCTTATGCTTCTGTTGGCGCGAGCGGAGTTGACGTAACCGATCGTTAGGTAATTCTGACTCAGCATTATTATTCCTCGGCGAAGCCTTGATCTTACTAAGTAAATCAAGTAGACTCAGTTGAATGATATAGGCAAGACAAGGCACTTGAACAATTGTCGAATCTATCTCCGGGTCTGACTGTAGATCCTTGATTGACTTATTTACCGCTATGATAAGTGTCTTATTATTAGACGTATTATTAGTTGTTACCGCTAGTATACGGTAAATGATCTAATGCTGTTATAGAATTCGAATAACAACTTTACTAAGGTTAACGCTAGAATAAGTACCAGAAATTGGCTTAAAGCTAAGGAGTACCTTACGATACTCCTATTCCTAGTCTAAAAAGTATCCTGTGATAGCTATGAAGGTATGTTTAAATGGCGAAGTCTAACAGTCAAGGGCAATCGATATCTTTGTACTAGGTAGGAGCTGTTATAGAGTCTTTTGTTGAGACTCTTTGACGAACTCTCGGAGACGCTTACGAATAACCTTTCTTAATAGGATGCTTAGTAGTATAGATGCTAGTTGGGCGTAAGAGATAAGGTCGTGGAATTCTTGATGCTCGATAAAGAGGAAGGGTAAATATGATACAGTGATTAGATTAAGTAGCTTCTGCTCCTATATTTGCTATGTAAAGGTAGGTACTGGTCTTCTCTCAGCCTAAAATATAGTTAATTAAGGATTCGTCTTAATATTCAATAAGAAATATAGGTAAACATACTGTGTCACTAAGTAGCTAGTGGATACTACTAGTTCCCTAGAGTGCCTGCTTCGGTACTCGTTGTCTATATCTTGGACTATTAAGGTGCTTCTGCATTGTTGATATCCCTATATGATTCGTAGTTGGATACGCGAGAACTGTGCGATAACGTTTGTATATAACGCCTGGCTTTCTATCTTTAGTATTTGCAACTTGTTGGAACCCTTTCCAGCAATCTGTACGACGTTTAGTAGGACTTATATCCTAATTGAGATTTTGCTTCGACCTACTATAGCCAGTCTTAAGCTACCAATCTACGAACTCCTTTGTTATTTCTGGTGTATAGATAATGAACTCGTTGATACGGTTAGGCTTAATTCGCGTAAGGGTGTCTGGAGCGAGTAGTGAAATGTGTGACTGAGGGCTAAGAAGGTCTGGAACTGATCTAAACTGGCTTTCGGATTGGTATTAGCTCCGGCTCTGGCTCTGGCTTTCGCGTTGGGAGAGGGAGTCTTCGGGGAGGAGGAAGTGTAACGCGTTATATAGTACCCCGTCTTGACTATCAAAGTGAGACGATAGGTAGATGTCTGAGAGCTGAGATATAGTAGGTTCAGTTAGCTAAATACTAGAGAAGAAGAAGATAAAAAATATACTGATTGCTTTATATAAAAAGATATATGATCTTCTTAGGGCCTCTGTTTGACCCTATTTAAGATGCTAGAATTGATCTATTATCTTAAGTATCTATAAGTAGATCCTATTGGCTAGTTCAGTGGGTAATTTGTATAGTAACCCTACCGCACCTCAGTATACCTTACCGCACCTGAGGGATAAACCTAATTAAACCTTATCGTACCTCGGTATACCTCGCTATACCTCAGGGGTAAACCTGAATAAACCTCACTACACCTCAAAGTAACCCTTAGGTTGAGAAAATATTATAATCAGAA